GGAAAATGCAGTTCATTAAATGGCATCCATCTCTTTAATCTTTGATATATAGTAAGGGATGGCTTGTGAACAACTGAAACTTAGTTCGTTTAGATACCAATAACTAAATTATCTTGGCATGAAATTTCAGAAAATTTGAAAGCGTCAGCTACGTTTTATAAAGCAACCAATTTCAGCGGATCGAACTTATTTGTACACCTTAGACTATCAAATTTTCGTCGGACGCGTACGCATTCGTTTTCTGTTAAATTGTTTTCTCTTTTAAAGTAATGAACAGTCAATAATTACTATTAGTCGATGTTAGTGAATAAATGTAATATTTAGGAACTTCAAATTATACGCCTTGTTAGTAGAAAAACTTGGTTCAGAAGTCCAAAAAAAAAGAATACTTTCTCTTATCCATGCAAACGGATATCATTTAAGGGGAGTTCTTCTCACCCAAAAAAAAAAAAGTTTGGGCAAATCTGCTTGAAATCGTGACAAAGTGTAATGTATGCGAACAACTTTATGAATCTTAACAACGACACTTTGAAGACTTTGGCATTGACTGATTTTTCCGTGCGCTTACGAAGCGGTTTTTCTTTAACTGAACTCAAATAGATTAAAAAGTTAATATATAGCGTTCAGATTAAATTTTAGAACGCATTTTTATGGACTTATATATATGATGACGACGACGCGACAAGAAGAAGATTTTGTTGGTTCTTGTTAGGCCGATACGTGTCTTAAGTGCTTATTAAAGACTTATCAAAAAGCGATTTAAAAAATTCCAATTTCAAGTATTCGTTGAACTATTCCTAAGCCTTCCTGTTGCTTGCAGAAATTATAGAGAAGAAATGAGAGTCAAAAAATGCACAAAGAAAGAGACAAAGAGAGAGAGAAATAGACCAAAATATAGAAAGTAATTAATTAAACATTATTTTATTGTAATTCATTTACTTAACAATAGAACAACAAAAGAGACGTGACTTAAGTTAAAAATATACGTTTAAAAAACATTTTCATTTATATAAAAATGTATATTGATTTAACAAAATTAGTTTATTTAAGAACTGTGTTCAATAATAATTATGTTAGTGTTTATAAAAAAACCAAAAATTTGTAAATTTAAAAAAAAAAAATTTTAATTTTAAAGCTAAATATGTAATTTGATAAACAAAATGAAGCTTCTCACAGAGGTCGAATTTTTTGTTTTTTTATACCAATCACGATCAATCAATCAGGCAATGCCCCTATACGTGTAACACGTTGATAGTTTGACAAAACTGCAAAAGAGAAGGAGATAGGGAGTGGCCGCAGCTTGATAAGCGTACGCCCAATCGGTATGTGTTATGCCCTTAGCGACTACAGTTATTATAGTCTACCACTCGAAGATTTGAACATGAGAACACTGACTTGATAATCCACAAGATACTTATGATGAATATGGATTGACATATTTGCTGTCAGGGCGGCACGTCTCTAATTATCTTCGGATAGGTTCGTTGAACTTTCAAAGTTAACCTATTTGACTACATTATCTTACTTATGGGTTTTCTTATTGATTTTTATTAATGGGACTTTAATGACTTTCGCTCTTTTTACCAGCCACGCGTTTAATGTCATTCATTCTAGTGGTCAATAAGGGTGCGGCAATGAAATCTCCATAGTCCATTTGCGTTACCTCGCCACTCAATTGGCAAATTAACCAGCGTCCCCTTTTTCCAGTCCTTCGGATCAAAAACCAAAACCTGTACGCTAGTCATGCTTGCGGCCTGGTCAAAATCACTGATGCGTTGTTGGTTCACGAAAAGTTTTGTTTCTCTAGGTGCTAACTGGACCGTAGCTTTCAATATTAAAGAGGAATTTTACCGAAATTAGGTAAAAGAGTGTATTGCTTTACAGGAAGATCACTTGTGTCACATATAATCTGACTATGGTACAAGGGGCCCCAAAATTGGCTTGAGGAGAACACTTATAAAAGATCATAATCTTTTAATGTATTATATAATTTCCTGACGCTAGTCATTAACAAATTTTCAAGACTTAGGCGGGCTGAAACAGAAACACTGCCCAATTTGTCCAGGTCCGTAAAACTCAGCGTTCTAAATTGAAACGATAGTTTTGCATGATAATAGCTAATACTACCTGCCACATCGTTCTTAAAACAATCGCTCCGTTGATTGCAAAGTTTTACATATAATCTTTCCATGTAAGGTCATGGTCACGTTTTAGTCTTACTTACATCCTTAGTAGACCGCATGCCTCTAGTGCACGGAGATGTGGTTTTGGTTTCAGCGCCCGATGACAGTTTACTGCAGATCCGCCTGAGTGCCCACTATGCAAAGAGTCTTGACTAACAACTTAGTGGCCGTGAGTTGAAGTCTAAATTGCGGTAGAGTTTACAAAGGCATGTACCGACTTATCAAAATAAGGCTTTGTAAAGGGGAAGCAGCCAAAAAAATGGTCCATTATATATATATTATGTTATAATAAAAGATGGATCTATATTGAGCCTTTCTAGGTGTTGTGTACATCCGCGCAAGCTTAATCAAGCGGTGTAGGGTATAAAAAACGAGAAAAATAACTGCTTAGTAGGAATATTTTAAAATTAGTAAATTAATAGAACCAATGTCAGGAGAAAATGTACTTGCAAACTGAACTTAAGTTTAAAGTGCTTCATCTTACTTGAGCCCTACAATTTATTTCTTTAGTCTAAGTAAGTTATTGAAATAACAATAGTGAACTAACTGGAAGAAAAAACACATCAAAATTTTAAATATTTCAGAAGTGTGCTAATAAGAACAACACACGTGTTTACCTAAATTTTTCCATATTTCCTTTATGATTGGCTTTTTTTATTGTGGGAAATTAACTGCGCATGTTTGTCTCAATAGGAGGAGTTATCCATTCTTAATCTAGAGCAACATGTTTATAAAAACATTTGGAAGAAGAAAACAAGCTGCTTAATTCACAAAAGCTTTCCGCTTTATCCCAACAATGAATCCTTTTTAATACAAGTGGCATCAGTTCATAATAAAACTTCCTTAAGAGGGGTTATTTTCTACACAAAAAATTGTTAAGAAATTTATATAAATAAATCAAGCGTTCAAATTTATTGAATTGAATTTATTAAAAAACCAAATTAATCAATCAAAATAAATTTTTGTAAAAAAGAATATAAAAGTAAATAATAAATAAGAAGTAAGTTAAGAAAAAACTTTTGTTTTTATCAACATTTTTTTTTAGGTGCAATAGGAGGAGAGAAAATGATCATTTAAAGATAGAAGAGAAAATTTTGCTTTTGCTCTCTTACTACTTAGTGGCTTTGTTGTTTTTTCTTTAGCGATATATGCAGATGTTGGAAATTTTCTCCCTTGTGTTGTAGGCTACGAAAATCGAATCGTTACATGGTCGGAAAGTATAATTTCCCTTATTTCACGGTGAAAATTGGCTCATAATAGTAAATTGACAAACAAATCAATTTTACCGACTTTGAACCTTGTAGCTTCATTTTTTGGATACCACTCCGAATGTGGATTATCACGATGTGCAGGCTTTAATTGCCATTCACTTAATCTGCATCGCATATCACATCGCATTACGCCTTACATCGTATTTATATTAATTAATGTTTTTGGAGAGATCTATAGTAATAATATTACCGGCATTTTGACTTGAAAACATTAAATTCCAAATTTGCAGATCTAAATCTTAAACTTCTCAAAATGATGAGATAATAATTTAGGAAGCTTGAAAAAACTACAATTTTTTTCCACTTAACACGTTCACTTTTCAAGACGTCGGTGTAAAAAGCGAGTTCATCTGTTATTTAATAAAACAGTTATCTCGTAGTTTGGATTCATTTTGTTAAGGGTTTACAGCAATTTTCAAACTTGGTACAATGGGAATTTGTTTTTCTATGCAAAGTTCTGACACTTTAAGAACGGTTTCCAAAAACAGAATGACAAACATTCTATTATAATGGGCCAAAATGTGGTCTGATCCGTATAAATTCCAAGTGCGTTCGTCCTTGAATAAAATCACGGCAGGGTACTAAATTTCGTTAGAATATCTCCATAGTCGTGGCCTGTAGGTTAAAGACACGAAAAAATAAACAGACGGACAGACAATGTTAATATTCTCTATTCAGGTATTCAGATCCAAAATCTTATTCAGAAAGTGGCTTTGAATCAATGGGTAGAATAAAAGATGGGTCTACCTCAAGTCCTTCTGATTGTAGCATACATATGCATGAACTTAATACGTCTTTGTATCACAAATGGCGTAAGGTATAAAAAGTTTCAAGATCCTAATTTGTTTTTTCAAACAAAGTTTGGACGTCTTAGTCTCAGTGTTAGCAGAGAGGAAACAAGCAGATAGAGTTAACTTTACTTCCGCAATTCCTGCTGTTCATAAATTGTAGAATCTCTAAGGCATGTTTTTCATTACAAAAATATGACAAATCTACTCCATCCTCTATGGAGGATGTAATTTTCTGTCTACATGTAATGTTGGTCTAGAGCAATTGTGTTATATTAATATACTCCTCCTCTTACAAAAATCGCTTAAATGCACATCGCGCAAAAAGAGATGACAACATTTGCAAACCAATTCTGTGTGTTGCTGTGTTATTGTTATTACTGACGGTCGCTCATTTAATAGTCTCTTATGCCACCAAATTTACCGTTGCGTGTGTAGGTTCGTGTGTTCGTTCATGATCATCATAATATTGTTATATTGCTCTTCGTCGCATTTTAGAAGAGAAACCACATTGCGAGAGCAAAGTTTACAACACAAACAAAAGACTTTGAATGGTGTGTGCTCAGAAAGACTTCGCTAGGTATGGTGTAATCAAAGAAGAAAGAAGTCTCTTCTCAGAGCAAATAAAACTAAAACTACAATAACGAAAAAGTGTTGGTACGGTGCGTACGCCAAAATAAACCTGGTTGGGTATGGTGGAATCAGGAGGAGAAATCTCCTCTCAGAGCAGATAAAACTGCTTGGTACTTGTAATTTTAATTTTAATTATCGAAGAGAAATAGAGAAAAATAGCTCGTGTTAGTGAAATTGCGGACGTGAGTGGTCGTTTCTATAGTGAAATTACGGACTTTGCGGTGCTTATAACAACTAAAACATTCCAAGTTTTTATTATAAATAATTATATAAAATTTAGAAAATAATTAATATAAAGGTAAATGAAAAACTAACAAGAGTGATGCAGATGACAAGAAATTAATACTAATAATAACAATAAAATTGATGGACAAAAAACAGATTGTAATACAGTATACGTGGAATAAAAACGTATGTCTTCCCTCTTATATTAGGGGCCAAAAAAAGAAAGAAAAAATTTCACTGATTAATGCTAATTGTAATTTACATGTTTGGAGAAATGTGTACGTAAACAATAACTCAGTAACTCCCTCTCCCTCTCTCACACGTTTTTAATGTTGTTCTTAAATGTTCTAATGAGAACGAACCAAACACATTCATATGTTATTCGAAAAAATGGAGAGACCGAAAGAGAGAATCAGAACGTGGACTAAAATAATTGAATTGAATATTAATCCATTTCTAGATAATCTTACGTTTCCCTCGTTAAATGAATCACACAAATTTTAGAGATTACTCTTGTTGGTTCTTGTTAATAAAGAAACAAATTATTTTCGCGCAAATATTTCGTTATCAGGAAACGAAACGAAATTTTTTGGTATTTACTTTGCCTTCGATTTTCTCGCAGTCTTAAGAAATCGCTTGCTAAGTGGAAGAACTTTTTCTTAGACAATTTTTTTTCATTCAAAATTTAAATAGTTCCTAATTTGGGTTAATAACCCTACGAAGAGAGGGAGAGAGAGAGAGAGAGAGAGAGTGTGGACCGTAACAAGATGTCTAGGCAGTTTTAATATTAACTACAGAAGATCTTTGCCTGACGCTTCGCGTGGCTACATTTACTTTTCTATTTAGATATAAGAAATTATGTCTTCTTATTTTATTATTTTTCCTTTTTGCTTATGCTTTTATTTTACTAAACAAGTTTCTGTATTATGGTCATTTTTTCTGTACGTGTGCTTTTTGGGTTTTTAAAAGAAAGTTAATCTCAAATAAATTTATTCTTAATACTTAGCAGGCGTTAAAGTGAAAGTTTTTCGATTGGATCGCTTGATCTCCTCCATAGCAAAAGCTCTTCTTGCGGTATATGATTTTCAAGAGTTCGATTTGTCAGTAAGAGTGTAGCAATCAGTTTAGGTTATGCTGCCTTAAATTGTCTTCTAATTACACACGGTATAATTAAAAAAAAAAAAGAACTTGCAATCTTCCTACAAATGTTCGCTTTTAATATCGTGTAAACTACATAAGCAAAAATCTTCTGAAAGTTTTTTTTAATAAGTTTTCCAAAATTCTTAAAGTGATATATATATTACTTGTTCGACCGTCAAAGCTGTTGAGCTGAGCGTTAATTTTGGCATATCATTTTGCAAGACTTTTAATATGCCTTGAAGTATAGTTTGGGAAATACTTATCTGGATTTGCACGGCAATCCTTTTATACTTTTAAATACATAGAGGAAGGATGAGGGATATCTTCATTTTGTCAAACCCTTTGCAACATCCACAAGGAAATTTCAGAGCCTACATAAACAATTCCGCAAATTCTGAAACGATCTAAGAATTTTCTGTCTGGCAGTGGTAAACATTCTCCTGGTCGCAAAAAGGAAGCCATCTGCTTCAAATTTCGCAAAAATATCGGAAGCTCTTATACGCAGATTGGTATTGAAACTTTGCCATATCAGCTATAGGATACGCCTACAGCACAACATAACATGAGAACGCCTCTAATTTCAAAAAAAAAGTGTTTTTTTTGCTTGTTACTTATAAACAAAGACAACGATAAAATTTTGTATTTAGATTCTATGGGTGCGCTTACTATGGGTTCGGAGATCCTATAAAGTCTAGTTGTTATTGATCAGTACCAAAAGCGATTAAAAAAAGAAGCTTCAAATGTAGACCATTTTAGAACATTCTGTTTGTCAGTCCGTCTGTCCATGGGTCTATTAAGTGCTGCGATCAACCCACTCACGATCTCAAAAATGCAAATATCTGCTGCAGATACAGGATATAAATTTCCACATTTGTTCTATAAACATGGAAAAATCAGCCACGACCACCCAAGATTATGAGACAATGGAAATTTAGTTCCTCTTGCTCTTGAGTGTTTTCTTAGAATAAGGAATAGTGATGGGCATAAAAGACTAATTTTAATTGTTATTAATAAATTTAAAGTACAAAATTTTGTGTATCTTTTCAAAGTTGATCTCTTTTTCTTATCTCTCTTTCGCTTTCTTGCTAGCTTCAATTCGAAAATTCGATTGATATGCTAAAAGACGGCCCTACTTTATGCGGTTTTGTATTTTGCTTACATCCGCAAAAAATGACCATAAATGGTGCAGCGTATAATGGCAGCAAGTATATAATTAAATAATTTTTTGTCAATTTACGGAAACAAGGACAAAATTTTAAACCCATTTCTTATGGTTCCGCATAATCAACATTTTCATTATTTTTCGCTTCATATGGGTTTTTTCCTCTTTTTTGATATAATTAAGGAATTTTCTATTTTCTTTTTTTTTTTACTTTTACTTAATATCATTGAAATTTTTTCATTTACTTAATCTATACATTTTTTTTTTTTTATGATAAATTTAATGAATAAAAGTAGAGAAAAGAAAATGAGGTGACTCGACACGTATAAAATTGTAATCAAAGCAAAAAAAAAGTTATTTCTTAAGCTTTATTTAGTCTTTACTTTTTTTTTTTTGTTATGCGTATTGAAATGAAGCCAAAATGAAATTGCATAACAATGTATGAATATAATCAGAAATGTACACATAGGCTTAGATGCATATATAGATGCATACATAAAGATGGATAGATAGATAGATATTGTAATTGTAATTGTATTGTATTTGTAAATTTGGTTGTCCGTAGTCGTGATGTGCATCTTTTTGAATTGAATGCTTGACTACCGCTATGGCAAGGCCCGTTTGCTCGTTTGATTAGCTGGTCTGAATGTTGTTTATAGCAAGCTTTGGCTCTTCTTCGTTGTTCTTTTTTTCTTTTCGCTTAACGGATGCATTTTTACGTAAACATATTGTATTGTAGTATGTGTAGTTGCTACTTAGAGTGTGATGCAACACTCGTTACATGCAAACTTGACGCTTCGTTTTCTTAGCCCTTGCTTTAAGAAAGACCTTGAAGAAATCTTGGTCTCGTTCTTAGTTACTTATCTTAAGCTAATAAACTAATTATTGTATTGTGTTAGTGTATTAATTAACAAATTTATATTCTTGTACTTTTTTACAGTCATGTTGAAATCAGTACTTATCGCTTTGTGCCTTTTCGCGGCTAGTGTACATAGTCAAGAATTAAAAGTCGATGTTATCAGCGTACCCGAAGTGTGCGAACAGAAATCTAAAGCGGGAGATACGGTAAGATTTCTTTCGTATAGTTTAATTTTTATAAATCAGAAATTTATTAAAAAAATTTTTTTTTATTCTAATTTCCCAGTTAACCATGCATTACACGGGTACCTTAACTGATGGAAAGAAATTCGATTCCAGGTGAGTTTTTCTCCATTAAAGAGATTACATTCCTAAAGCAAATCTTGAGCAATCAATCATCTCAAAGAAATATTTCTTCGTCTTAAAAGTGTACTCAGAAACCGGACATTTTCTCGCCTCAAAAGCTTCCTTGCTATTAAAAGCCAGCAGGTTATTGCTGTTCAGAACAATTTTTCCACTAAATGACTCTGATAAGTATAGGTAGAAACTCGATATCACATAATAAGTTTGTTATTAAAATATACTCTGTTCAATGAAATTCAGGTCTCATTAACAATTTCTTAAGGGGCTTGACAATTATTCTTAGCAGCTTATGAATCGAAGTGTATAAGAACTTTAAGCTAATAAAATTATTAATTATTGCCTGCTACCTGTACAGGGTAAAGATAATAAATTATTAGATTTTTACACATAAAGAAAATCGGAAAATTCAAAAAATCAATAAACAATATTATTAACTACATTAACCGCAATGTTACCATATTTTTTATAACGAATCAAAGCACCATGTGACACTCAATCACTCATGACAATCTTGGAATAGTTTTTTTTTTATTTTATTTATAATTTAAAATACTCCAGAGACAGAGGGCTTTATATAAACACAAAATATTATGTGCAGGCTATGCACAATACGAAATAATTGAAAAATTTTGTGTTTCAAAGTTCAAAAGGAACCCAAAAACGCCGCGGGGCAAAATTAGAATCAAATTTATAAAAAAAATCGGCCGATCTCTATAGTCGTCAAATATGCGTTAGAATTGATTAATTTGATCATCATCGGTAGTGAAGGATCGATCGGAGCGAAGAGCAACATCAAGTGAAATTCTTTGCAATAAAATTTCGCAAATTGATTACAACTCGTTCATTTTGTTGCCATACTTCCTCAGCTCATGGCGCATATTTCTTCGGGAGCTTTACGAATCCTTTCCGACTTTGTCGAAACTTGAAAAGCAACGTGCATTAAATGTTTGTTCTTTTTACTGTTATTATTATTACTATTATAACTAATTTACCCAGAGAAATAAAGCCCAAGAATAAAACCTTAAAGCTCTCGCATCTGAGGTTAGCTTTATTGAAAACTCTACGGCACTTGAACTCACGACCATTGAGTTGTTAATCGAGATCCTTAGCCTACTCGGCCACTGAGGCGGATTGCTCTTTTTATCCATACACGTGGATAAAAAGAGGGTTCACATACCCGTAATCTCCATCACTATCTTCCTGGAAAGCATACACAAATTTCAATACTTCGGTCAAAGAGAGAAATTATGTGAAAATGTGATGCTGCTACAATTTGATTTGGCTGGTAAAAATGGAGAATAAAAGTGAAGCTCTCACTACTTAAACCGTGAAAGTAAGTACAACAGCCATAATCTCAAATATTTGAGATAGCCATTCAATTTGAAAATGGTGTAAGTGCAATTGGTGAAGCTTATATGTCGCCTCCACTCGTCGCAAAATCATAAATCTAAGATCGAAAGCTTAAGATAAGAACTTATTTGTTCAGCACTTTTCAGAGGAAAACCGTACCAGGCTGGATATCTCAGATGCCGCATAATCCAGTATATGGGGAGCGGCGACGTCCAGGTGGCTGTTTACAGATTAAAATTTAAGCGCGATAGATCACACTTAAATCTGCAGTGCCTAGTTGGTAAAGATAAACGGGAGCACATCCAGAAGGGTGCAGTAGTAGACTCCCTATCTCTTTGCCTCTCTACACTTCATTGTAACCTTCGCTGTACTCACGTGCACATATAAGGTACAAACCCTAAGTAACTTTACTTATTGCACTTGTACAATGATTGAATCGTGTATATGCGGAATAGGGATTTGCTAGCAATCTTCGCGATCTTGACACCAACGGGGAGCCACAAAAGTACATGATATTAAATCGATTCCTATTTAATACCCAGTGAATGTATTAGCGTATGTGTGTGTGTGTGTGTGTGTTAGAGAGTTTATATAGTCTACTTCTACGCCTTTTAAATGGTTTGGCAAAGTGGAGATTCGCGTTTATTTCGATGGTGCATATAAAAATGCATTTCAATCGTATTAAACGTAAAGAGTTGTACTTCTAGGGGAACGAGAGAACGTACGGCTTATTTTTGCATATCACTTCCTCACAGCCTCGTATCATCCAAAATCATGCGTTGTCGTCACCGTCATTATCATCATCATCATTATCATCATCATCGTCATCACCACCGTCACAAACAATGCATTAACACTTCATCGTAAATTAGAGTCAAAAAGATAAAAATCTCTTTATACGCTTTTGACCACAAAAGCCATACAACATTTTTATTGTTATTCCTTATTCGTTGTTGTTGTTGCTGTTATTATTATTATTATTGCTGTTTACACAACTTTGGGTTTTGCTATTGAAGAACATGCGAAATATATTAAAGAAAAAAAGATTTGTATGCAACAACCCCGACCCACGAAATCTAACCAAATTCCAAAATTTATTTCAAGAGTAATTTTTCTTCTTTCTTTTTATATATTTTCATTTTTTAAAACGTTTTGTTAAAAATATTTCCTTACTGCTTAAGACTTTTCATCAAAGGCTTCCTTCTGCAAGCTTCTCACTATAATAAGTATTTCATCAACTGGGAGATATCTTACAGTCTCTTGATATCTTGACGTCGAAGGCATGCAAAATTTGTAGTTTTCCTCAAGCTTACCGTGGAAATAACCATTTCCGGACAAGACCAAATTAATATGTCTTCAAAGAAGAGCCGCAAGCTTTTTTAATATAACCTGTACGGTAGGTTTCGGCAGATAATGGAAATCGCACTCTCCTTCTTGTTCGCATTTAGTAAGCGACCAATTTTATTATGAAAAGATATATGTGTCTCAAGAGAGTTTGGATGTTACCCAAATATTTTATCAAAATACGTTTTGTTATATTGAAATTTTTCATGGACTTTTATCAATTTGCGAAAATTATTCACGCGATTTTTAAACCGACGCTATCTTTGGTCCTTGTTTCTTTGAAATTGAGAATTGGAATACCTTCGGCGGCGGGGGAGGGCTTCAGAGACCGTTATGACGTTAATGAATTTTTTAAAGCTTAAATACTGGTCTAAAGAACATCTGGCTTCAACTGGGTGGAGCTACGCGTTGCTCACAGTGCTTCAAGCAATCGCTTTATTACATAGCCAATGATGATGCAATAACTTCATAACGATCCGATATCCAATGGCTTCTAAAAAGCGGTTAAACTGGTTCCTCTGGGCTTATTTCAAAGCGTTTCAAAGGTCTGCAGTAATAAATTAAATTCCATTCACGCATTAAAGGGCATAAATAAAGCGGTTTTCTCGAATTCGTTCCTGCAGGGAGAGCCATGGTAAACATCTACCTTAAAATAAACAGGTAAGAAATATGGATTACCTCGTGAGAGAGTCTTTCATACCCATCGCCGTTAACATGAAAAAAAACTAAAGAAGAAAAGCAACTGAATTCTTATACTCTGAAGCACTCTTGGGTGGGCACGAACGATTTTTTCGGTTTTCGGAATAAATGTGTATGCGTGTAGTATATGTAATAATTTATGAGTAATGAGCAAAAAACACGGATAGCAAGGCGTTCTCAGTTTTTGAAGTTTATAGATCCTTTTTCTACAGCCAGGAGAAAGTTCACTATACACATTAACCAGACGGAAAGCCGGAAATGCTTAAATCGCTTCAGAATTTGATGCTGATCAAGAGTATAAGTAATGTGTTGAACGTCTTTCAGTAATGGGTACAAAAATCGTTTTTGGTTTTCCTTAACACAAGAATAACTGACGTTTTGCGTACACCTAAGTATATATACATATACATTCCACCGTTATGACCCATAGCTTCCGCACATTCACAAAAACGGAAAAAGGGACGTAGTTTTTTTTTTTTGGATTGAGGGCCTTCACTCCAGAGTTCATTTTTTTTTTTTAAAACACGCAAAGCAATTTTCTCGACACACTTGAAGTTTTTTAAAGGAAACAAAATTTTAAAAAAAAACTTTCATTTTTACATTCAATTTTCGTAGTATATGGGGATGGATGATATGATGAATACTTTATCGTTGTTCCTTTCAACCTTATTATCCAAATATATGTTTCTTGTTCTACTTTCTAAGTAAAGGAAGACACTCACTAACTAAGTTTACATTATTACTTAACAGACCATAAAAACTTGAAATAGTTAAAGACCCTACGAGTGTATGACAGATAGTGTACATCACAATCTCTCTTCATTGCATTCACCACATATGCAAATATAATTTAATCATAAAATCATTTTCTTGCTCAACAAACAAATTTTAAATACATAAAATAAAAACAATATTTTAAATCAGTTTAATAAAAATAAAATAAAACGAACAGTAAGAAAATTATATTCGGCTACGACCGAATCTTTTATACCCATCATCCATTCCATATTCCATATTATTCTATTTCGTGGGCGTGGATGATTTTTTCTGTTTTCGTGGAATAAAAGTGCAATTTGGTATCGCTAAACGAATTAACAGATAGGTGGACAGAAGGACTGACAAACATTTCGATTTTTGTGCTGGAGTTACAGAACCAACATACAAATTTTTATCGTTACATCGTTTGTGACTTATAAGTAACGATTAAAAGCTTATTTTTTTTTTTTAAAGAAAGCTAGTCTCAGGTTACGTTGTTCTGTGACCGGTTTGGCTCAATTTCAACCTCAAAGTACATGCAAGATCTAACGTTTCTGTCAACCTTTAAGCAAATAGCTGTCTTCTTGCGAGCAGGAGAATATTTACCATAGACGGACAGACGGACGTACGTGCTTAAATCGAATTGGAATATGATTCCGATCAACAATATGACCATCTCTGAACCATCGTTTTGGGTATGTAATGGGCACGATAACATAAAATCGTTTGACTTACATTAAGTCCATAATAAGTCCTGCAGTAGAGAGTTTAGTGACCTGTTTTCTCAAATATTTTTTAATTTTCTTTCAACAAAATTTTTGTTTTAT